TTTCGTAAAAGATAAGCCTGGTAAATGCGGGATACCAGTAAGGATGCCAAAATTAAATTATTTCATTGAAATGCAGTGGCAGGTAACAATAGAAAGTCTGTAGCTGTAATTCAACGGCTTGATGAGTCGATAAGGAATATTATACCTCAATGATTCGGCTGAGAATGTTTATTCAACATTTGGTCTTACAATGGTTGGTGCATTACAGAAAAATCACAAACATATCCTTGATCTACCGGAGACTGTACAAAGAGAAGTGTATTCTTCAATTTTTGTGAGTCCACAGTCATTAGAACCAAGAGTTACCTTAGTTTCCTGCATAATCAAAGGAAAAACCTAAGAAACTTATACTTCTTTCTATCAACTCAACATGCAGATGAAGCAGCGGATAGTGGACATCTACAGAAAATGACCGATATCAATTTGTTTTACAATGAAACAAGGCGGACACGTTCACTTCGCCCTGTGCGGTTCGTTTTACACTGAACCTTCGCTAATTGTAAGCTGATATTTCTGCTATTCTTCCATTATTTCCACCGTAATAGGCACTAATCGAGCCTCTGGAGGGTAAAATAACAAAATATGTGTATCGAAACAACGAGAAATTTGTCTCGTACCGCCCAATAAGAAAGTCCAGTACGGGATACCATTAACCCTTTGCACTCCGTTGTCGCCGCCGTGGCGACATTGTAAGTGGAACTAACAGCTCCATTGTCGCTGCTGCGGCGACATTGTGAGATATATTTTTAAGAAAAATTGAACGCCTACAAAGTATCTTCCACAGAGGCGCACTAAAAATGATTCAGAGTTTCTGGTAGGTCATATTAAAAATTGCGAGGAGTGCAAAGGGTTAAAATGTCTACGAGACACACTCGTCCCGTACTTATAAGTAATTTCAACTTTTTCCACATAAAAATTATAAATTTCTTATTTTGCAACAACGAACTCCTACTCTTGCTTTTAAAAATCTGAAAAAATTATATGTTGTTCCTTGAATGTTTCTCGATAAGCGTACCAAATTTCATTAGATACATTTCATAATTACAGCTCCGATTACAGCAATTGCGTCGAGTGCGAAGCGTGATTGAATCATGGACTTTAACGTATTCCAAAAAAAAAAAAAAAATCCAGAAGAGGAAGATCAGGACAACGAGCATTTTGAACACATTCTATGAATTTAACCTGTTAACTGGGTTTATCTCTCAAACAGAAATTGAATCTTTCTAGTTTATAATTAAAAATGATCGAAAATGATAGCCACTGACTTCATCATGGTTTTTGGAAATGTGAATATAATTTATTTTACGTTTAATACAGGTACAAGAATGGAATTAAAAATGAATAGTTCCTTAATAAATAAACTATTTTAATTGCACCCTTGGCTAACCAACGACTAACTTGGCTAACTCGTCTTCCGCAGTTAACAGGTTAAGTACAGCTGAAGCTTAAGATTAGAGACGTCGCATATCATTCAACTGGTTTTTATCGCCGTATTATTCCGTTAGATAAAAAAAAAAAAAATATTTTTTATTAACACATTTGCGTCGGATGACGCACATATGCGTCATTCAGGTATTCACTTGGATTCCGAATGACGCGAAATACGTCATTGAGATTTTCACGTATCTGTCTGAAAGTAAATTTGTAAAACGCTGTAAATGATTGAATTTCTTTTCAGAAATGCCGTGACAGATGTTTCACGAATTCTAATAATTGTATACGTTTTACGAAAAAGTAGTTTACCACATTCTTGAAAATTTCTTTGAAAAATAATAATTAGTTGAGAAGTGACGATTGAAAGAAAAAAGACGCGAAATCACCCCGTGCACGTGTTAAGCGCTGCTCTAAGAGCCCCGTCGCCAATGTGAAGACGCGAAATCACCCCGTGCACGTGTTAAGCGCTGCTCTAAGAGTCCCGTCGCCAATGTGTTAAGTTCGTTGAATTGGCCTCCGCGACGCTGACCGATACACGAAAAGTACTATAGGGTAAAAAGTTGCCTCCGGGATGAGCCCCTCCCTCATAACATCTCGAGGGAGGGGCCCGGCGTGGGGTGGGCCCGGTTGCGTTCTTAGGAGATCGCGGGCCCACCCCCAGATCTCCCCACGTAAAAAAAAAAAAGGGTAAAAAGTTGACGGTGGCCTTGAAGACTTGCTTTAAAAAAAGACTTGGAAAAAATCTAATGTCATGTATGACAAAGAAATTTTGATCAGTCCAACATTGAAAATAACAGAAGTAGTCGTGTTATCGGGTTCACCCAGTAAGTACAATATAGTAAGTAAACGTGTTTAAAGTTGAGGCCCATCTAGACCAACGATTGTTCAATTTCTCAATTGTTCGTGATAATAAAACTGAATATAACGTTCGTTAAAATGAAAGAATTAAAGATTAACATTTCTTCAGTTATTCATCAAGATTTCTAGTTGTAGGTAAACGAAATATTTCGCTAATATTCTAGAATAATTATTCAACAGAATATTTCACAGTTAGATCGAAATAAGCGCCCGCTTAATTTTCATTCATTTTTCACAAGAATCAGCCTTGTCTAGGGTATTTAAATATTTGCACAATTCCTCATATCTCGCCTAGATATTTGAATTTTGCATATTCAGCTTACGTTAAATGTCGACGTTACATCAAACTCCTTCAATAACGATACAAAGTTCGTATCTAACCTCCACAATTTGAATGCGGAACAAAACACGTTTGTCGTCGGTAAGAAAGTAGGCGAAGAAAGTGACTCCTCCCTTTCTATCTCGCAACTTCGATTGCACCGGAATGAACGTTAATACGCACAAGTGTCCGGCAGGTTCACGTTTCCCGGCGTAACTAGAAAATCGTCGCACGTAAACGTGTAATCGTTCGAACGTCGAAGAAAATCGCAAACATTCTGGCCGCGGTTGTACGAGATCCGCGACAGTCTCGGAAGTGACCGCAAACGTCAAACGAACGGAAACATTTCTCTCGTGACCTCGGTCCGTTTGTCAAGAACCATTCACACGAACATTCGCCGCAGCGCCCATGTTTCATGCGATATGAATAATAATCTATCCGGTAACTACATCGAGAGCTCGCCGTGAGTGTCGAGCACGAGCCAAAAACCGAGAAAAAGGACTCGAACAAGCTCGTTGGCTCTGGCTCGTTTGTCAGCGAACGGGGCAAAAGTTACGCAAATATGTGCAGATCAGAACAGAGAAAAGCTGCGAAACTCCGAACTAGGGCTGCATTAATTCCTTCTCGGCTTGTTTTACTGTCGGTTCTTTTGTTATTTTCTTTCTCGGTGCTCGTCGGGAGACGTTCGTACACGGAACAGTCGGATTCCAGGCCAGAGGCGTGAACGAATTGCGCGAATCTACGATATCCGTATTATCGAGCCAGTGTATACAGTACAGAAATGTCATGTTAATGAGAAAACGATGATTTATATGAATATATCAATGTAGCACCGATAAACCGTACCATCTGTATAGTGCTGTATCTAATGAACTTGCGTGTGAACGTTGTAGGGTGATCTTAGTTGATTCGTATAGTGCGTGTATAGTTGGTGGAAGCGATACAGTGAGATCGTAAATTAAAGCATCAAACGGTCCGTCATTTGTGAATTGATATCTAAAATTTTTGCTTACAATCTTTCATTTAAGGTATGCGGTATCGAGCCTCTGTTACTGACCTGCAGCTGTCAGGGCGCAGACAAATTTTTAAATTTTTATGGAAGAAGCAATTTCAAGTTGACATCGAATGGTCTACAGCGAGTCTCCTTGCATTTTCACTCCTGATTTTACGACCTCACTATATCAGTTCCATCGACTGTGCTACGTGGATCGTATTTGCCCAAAAAACTGGTCTCGATTAATTTCAATATTAACAGTAATATTAAAAAGATTTGCATTCTAACGATAAGTTGTCAATCGTAACTTTAATATCACAAAGCGTAGTGCCGATTGTATCAACATAGTTTATATCATAAAAAAATTGAAACGCACGTTTTGATCAAATATTCAACTAATTGAACAGCCGAGTAATGAATTGACGAACAAATTTTCACACCTAACGATATCTTTCACCGCATCTAATCAAACGTGGTGATCGCACAATACGGTTACCGGTGCACCGTGGATAAACACGAGTAATACGGATATCAACGAGATTCGATTCAACTTTACCGAAGGCGCTCTTTTATTTCGCGTGGCAAATGTTTACGTCGTCGTGTTTCGTTCCCTCGAATCTAATTGCAAGTAAATGAACACCGGCAACCCTAGTAAAATGTTAAACAGAGAATACCCGATGATAATACCAGACAGAGACGAGGAATGGCTAATAAATATCGCTCAACGTTAAAGCTGAGAAGCTCGGAGTTGAATTTAAAAATCGTCAAGTCGATAACACCTCACATTTTTCCGTAACTTTCGGAACGACGTCACGACATGAGTTGCACTCTGACATCAAATAAACTGTACTACTTTGAAATGCAATATGCACGACGATGATACCTCTTTTGTTAAGTCGAGTGGACACTCATTTCTTCCTTTCGTTTTGTTTGTTACTGTCTGACTTGCGCGCGAATGCGTGCACACGTTGCAAAAGATGTTTACACGAGACAATTAAGTACCATTTGCCTTTGTTTTCCCGTTCCTATCGACGTTCAATTAATCATGTATCATACTTTACGAGAGAAAATCAAACTTTCAGCGAATACTGGGAAATAATTCCACGTCTGATAGGTAGAAAACTCCGAAATGATTATTTTCTGGAAGTATTCAAATGTGGAGTAACAGAAGACCTTCCCCGGTCTGATTCAGTTTCAGTGTTCTGTTTTGTCAGAAAGTGGGCAACTTTGATAAAATCGTAAATAAACAAAAGATTCGAGAGGCAAAATGAATGTCCAAACGATTTGAATTTCTCGGCAGCATGCTATGCCACTACTATATGTATAGAGTATGTAATATGGAACTATAGAAGATGTAATTAGAATATAGAACAAAGAAGCAGCAGACAGACTCACTTGTTGTAGAGGACTATGTCGGGCCGCCATATGTGGTCGGACGGCACATGTAACATATGAACACCTCCGTACTCCTTGGGCTCCCATCGTAACTTGTAATCGTACCATGACTTGAAACAGCCAACACAAAAAAAATAACCATATTATTGATCCATTTTTCGTCATATTTCATTAAACAAAAGTGTTTAGGTTTTCTTTTTACTAAAGGTATGTACGAGGCTACTTTTCAGAAGGTTTTTATCAAGATTTTCATGTTACGATCGATCGTTCAAGCCAGAAGTCAAAGCCTGGAAATTACTTTACGGGCGCAGGAACTGTAAATTTCTGCAGGCCATATGAGTTACCAGGTACACTGCCGTTTTTAAGTATTGGGGCATGCATTATGTTCGTATAGAAAATATTATACGATTTAAATTATTAACGTGCCCATTTTTAAGGCGTGGAAACGGTGGCTGTCGATCTATGATTGCACGCTGTTCTTCATTTCATTCAGAAATTTGTGGCGACCGCCACGAGGGGCCTACGTACCTAGGCCTGGCGACTCTTGGCCCTCGAGGCGAAGAGTCGAGAGATGTTTTCTAAACATCTCTGGGTTTCTTCGTCCTCGAGGACAAGAGTATTGCCTCGGCAATGCAGGCCCGCGCTCCCACTTGCTGGGACTTTCCCAGGGAAAAGGGGCTACTTAAGGGAGCCCTGAAAAAAGCACGAAGCCTTTTGTCGTGGACATTCTTCCTAGATGCATCGTGTCGCCTATACATTAAAAATAGTTTAAGCTGATTTAAATAAATATACATTCCTGTTAAGCAACCTTCGCGAGTAATTACTTTACACCACGTCACTTCCAAAAATGTTTGGGTGTGATAAGCAACTTTTTAAAACACATTAAAGAATTTACTTTTCACTTGTATAAATCTTAAAAAATATTAATGCATTTCCTGAGGATTCCATTACAATAACAGTTTACTGTATTTGAGTATTTTGGAAATTAACGTCCTACGTGCTATTAAATATTTGTCTTGTGCGCCGACTCGTATAGAAAGACAAGACGGGCAGATAATCTTTTCGCTTTCTTATTCTTTCATCAGCGAGCTCGTTGAAAACCACTTATCTATCTGCACCAAAACTTCCCCTCAAGCAGAGACAGCGTAGAACTGTAGAGTAGCAGGGATGGCGCGCCCGCCTGTTTGCTCAGGCATGCGCATTAAAACCTTCAGGTTTGCTTGGTCGACCTATACACTCGTATATCCAGGTGATCTATCGCGATAACACGTTGCTTATCCACGCAATCTTTTCCATCTTCCTCTCCGCCAACGTAAATAAACATGTTCACGCGTTCACAATCATCTAGGCAGCTTTCGTAGATATCAAGTTCGCATATGAAGGAAAACATACGTGTCTCGTATTCTGGAACATATCGAAATAGAAAACTGTGTCCTAGAATTGGGCGAGATTTCGTCTAAGGAATTTCATCTATTCTAGGAAAACTAAGGAGTCGTCGGAACGGGCCAATCGTATTTTTCCCTAACTGCCATCGACCTATCCGTGTGTCCGTGGCACGCTCCGTGCAGACTGGACGATGACAAGAGGGGGTGAAGGTCAGCAAATGTTTAAACATTTGAAACCATAACGGGAATTTCCACCAGGCCTGGGACTCGCGGCGTGCCCAGTTTAGAAACTCATGTTTTATGACACGTACAATTAGCTGTTGAGGTCGTTAACGACGTTTAGGAAAAGAAACTATTCCTTAAGGGATTAGCGAATAAAGAGACATTCTCAAAACCAGCTTTGTAACTTGTATGTCATGAAACGTACTAGCCATCAGCACGTCGAATGGTTTCGTCCTTTGTCGAGATCGCTAGCCGCTATGGAACAAATGCTTAAAGCGGGTGAAAATAAAAACGGCGGATCTTCTAAATAATATACCGCGGAACAGTATTGTTGGAGACATATCATACATATCGTATCGTACACCCCCGTTCATAAGTATTAGGACATTTACTGAATGTAAAGTAAACCTAAGCAGTCATTAGAAAATTATTAAGATTCTGAAAAAAATAATTCAATTTGGAATTTAGTAGTAGGTACAACGTGTGTATATGATAAAACTTTTGAATATCTGTTTCGATTTAAGGTGCCGTCATAAAAATAAGATCCTCGTAGTGTGTTCGATTTCAGACAGGGTATAAGGCATAAGAATTATGTCACTCCAAATATTGCCACAAAATTGAGTTTGTTGCAGATCGTCAGACTTGTTCACCAACCGCTTTAATATACAATCACACCAAAGGAATTACAGCTATCAATTTTAAAAAATTCGTGCTACCGTCATTACGTGAAAACCATTGCAAATTTGGTAAATCTATTCAAGCCATTGTATTGCATACAGAAAATAATGAAACTTTGTCCTCTTCTATTTTACTCACAAATCTACCACCTACGAGCAAAATTAGAACCTAATAATATGAATATCCTGCATATTTTTACTGCTACTTGCGAGAAAAACACTGGGAACTAATAGTGCGAACACCCTGTATACTTTTACCGATGTATGATACTAACTTTGGAGATGAACTGGAATTTATGTAAGAGTATGGTCGAGCGAATGTTGGAACTCGCGCTGGTTTATGACCCGCAGACCGATAGGTCTGCGGAGAAACCCAGTCCCAACGCCTTGACACGCCCACTAAGGGCTGAGTCAGGTAAGGACACGCCCACTAAGGGCTGGGTCAGGTAAGGACACGCCCACTGAGGGCTGGGTCAGGTAAGGACACGCCCACTGAGGGCTGGGTCAGGTAAGGACACGCCCACTGAGGGCTGGGTCAGGTAAGGACACGCCCACTGACTCGCGCGACGCTGACTTTGCTCCGTAGAAACCCCTAACCCACGCTTGGGCGACTGGCGGCTCGCGAGCCGCAGACGACTCCTCTCCCTACTCCTGGGTCCCCCCCACCAAACTCCTGTGGAGTATAGGAGGAGGTTGGGGAGATTAGGAGTCTATATGTAGAAGGCTGTATCCTCGCCTCACGCATGTATTCCACGCATATATTCGCAGTTACGCGAGGCAAAGCACGGTAAAGGCAATATGAAATAGTTGATAGTGGGGGAACCGGAACACTGGTAGTGGAAGTCGTGCAGCGATAGCGGGGAAGAAGTTGCCCGAGCCTGCCCTAACCTGGCCAGGGTTTCCCGGAGGCAAGATAGGGGCGTCAAGGCTCGTATATAAGGACGCGTTAAATAAGAATGCAAGAGATTGTATTAGAACGAATTAGGAAGCGTGTAGTTGATAAGGACGGGCCAGAAAAGAACGGGGCGTCAACGACAGACGGATAAATAAATATAGTTTTCAACATCGGTTTAAATAATCCTGACAAATATCATTTAGACCAAGCAGCCCTTACATTGAAATCATTTAATATTTTCTGTACGCAGATAATAAGTGTCCTAACACTATCCTTATGAACGGTAGTGTATTATTTTGTAGTAAAAACAGTCTAATGCACGCTTGAATTTGTGTTAACTTTTAATCTTACAATAACAGAACGTAAAGCTACGAAAGGTAATTATTATAATTATCTGACAAAGCATAAAATGAACTTTTCGCAAGTCTTGGGTATTACAATTCTTTTCTTTAACTTTTTAAAGTTGAAAAAGAGCTGAAAAAAACGCATAACAATTATATGAAAAATTCTTCTAGTGCATAAAAGTACATATTATTGGAAAACATGATTTTATCATATCTATTTTTTATCTTTAATACCTTGTTTCAATCAAATATTTTACCAAATACTTTAATCCTCAATGTTTAATCCTAAAATTTGAAAAAAAAAAATCACCTAAAATCAATAGTGCATTTATAACTTTCGTTATGCGTAACGTTTGAAACAACATATTCTTTTTCAGTATCATCTTTTCACAAAACATACCTTTGCAAATTTTGCTTTAACTCAATTAACCCTTACACTATTGGCCAAATGTTTGGAATCACTGTGCATTGCAAGTTGCACAAAAAATCCCCCCAAAAAGGTAGCATTTATAACAATTTTTTAACGAATTTGTTATCATTCAAATCAATGGAAATGAGGTGAAGTGCTACGGATCTCCACAGAATCAATTTCAGATCAATAAAGAATTAGTAGCAGATTCAATGTTAACGTAAATTGTCAGGTGATTCCAAACTTTTGGCCGGTAGTGTATGTCAATACCCGGGTACCCGGATGCTCACCTGAATACACTTTGTGAAAATTTTTTGCTTTCGAGTGAAAAGTTTTTAAAAACCGCCCGGATCATCGCGATTTGAACCTTTTAGAAACGAAGTATCTTTTCCATATCCTTTTTTTCGTCCTCAAATCAAAAGAATTTTTGAGTCAAATTTCACATAGTCGTTCTCAATACTGCGTGTTCCGACGCGATTCTTAATTTATTAATCTAATTGTAAGTTCCTAAGCTCCAAGTTCATCTTTATTTATCGCAACTCAAATAGAAAGTCATATCACAAAGTGCTGAAATTCTTACCGAATGTACGTTTTTCGAGAGAAAAAATTCATTATACCCTCGACCCCCGTGTGTGGCATCATTAATAACCTTTATCCGCGTAGCCGAACTATGAACATTATAATAAAAAGTTAAATTCTGCACGCTTTACACGGCCGGTTACTAACAAAAGAACCACATGACGTAATGCTGCAGAATATTAATGCCGAATATGAATGATGCCGCGCAAAAGAACATATAACGGATTAGCTAAGAAAGACTTCATTTTCCACGAGCGTAATTTAATTTTTGGGGTGATAGAGACAGAATATATCGCTTACTCTCGCGTTGAAAATTCCCGCTGGCAGGAAAGTTGCTGGAAATTCGATTGCCTTACAGCTTTTAATTAGTGACCAATTATCCCGCGGGGATCCACGGTCGGTACAGAACTTTCTTAGGGAATTTTTTCTTACAAGATCCAATCAGAGATTCATTTTATTGAACAATTAAATTTCGTATAGGAACCATTCGTACGCTTATTCTTAATGATCGCGACTGTTAAAGTTCTCTACTTTTATCTTCTTAATTTTGCAAAATTTGTTTTAGACAATAAAAATAATATTCCAGAAAATTTCTGTAGAAATAATAAGCTGTAGGTACTATCACAATTGTTCTTATACTTGCTGAATATTTCGCGTGGTTTGTTAATTACTTTTATCTGTTTCATTAAACTATCATCTGCCTAATTCGTTAAAATAAAATTCTACTTTTACTTAGAACTAGCTTTTTATTGCAATTCAAATATTACAGCTAAATTTAATTTCAACTTCTTAGTAAAGAAAAATATATGCTACAGAATCTTTTTAGATAACACATGTACATTTTTCTGTGACAGAGATTTTTCAGCAAAT